TGCTATTCCCAAGTCTCTTCCTATATTTGTACAACTGTACTTTCTTTTTGAACGGTGTAATTAATCGGCACAACTGTCGGTACTTAGCTGAGGACAACCCCAGTCTTTTTCAGGAGGTGCACACACAAAACCCTCAGAAATTGAACGTGTGGACTGGTATTTTTGGAAATTCTATTGTAGGTCAGAACTACCGCACCTGATCATTCAACCTTGCGGCAAGTGAAAAAATGCGTAAACATCTAGAAATAATAAGAAAAAACAGCAAATTGGTTGAAGGAATTTATCATTATCATTTACTCTGATAAATGTTTAAATAAACCTTTCAAATTTCAATCCTTCATATTTCCTCAATGATTTGACCAATTTTCAAAAACGAAGCGGAGAAATATAGAGAATAGAAATCCCTTTTCATTGCGGCGCCAATTGACACCCCTTCCCATTTCAAAAAAGTTGGGGGATGACACCCCCGCTTAGAGGGTTGAAGATTTTGCAATCATTTTTGGGGTAAAAGTTGTCCTCCTCACAAACAAAATTGACGTGTTTTTGGATTTTTTGAAAAAAAAAATACCCTGGCCGTTATGCCTTGCGGAACGTTTTCGGTGGGCCACCCTGTATATAAAATCCTTAAGTGACTGACATACTGATTAATCACGATCCTGCTCAAACCACTCAATGTAAGAAGCTCAATTTTGGCATACAGGTTGATTCTGGGGTGTAGAGGTTCTATAAGAAGGGACTTTTCGAAATTCCAATTCCAATAGGGTGAAACCACCCCTCAAATATTACAATACTTTTTATTTAAAAAACGGTCAAGTTTCCGAAAAAACGCTTAAACACGTATATTTTATTTTGTTTTTTTACAAATCTTAAGATTTTTAAAAATGTATACAGGGTGTTTCGAAAAATCTGGTCATTGATTCATCAACGATGCTGCTTAAAGCGATTGACGTAAAAAGCTGATTTTTGGAAAACAGATTGACTTTAGGGTGTAGAGGTTCGATAAGAAGGGATTTTTCAAAACTCGAATTCTAAGGGGGTGAAACTATCCCTCAAATATTAAAATATTTTTTATTTAAAAACCGGTGAGTTTTTCGGAAAAACTCTTAAACACGTATATTTTATTTTGTTGTTTTACATATTTTAAGATTTTTATAAATTTATACAGGGTGTTTCATAAAATATGACCATTGAATAATCACGATTCTGCTTAAACTGCTTGACGTTTAAAGCTGATTTTTGGCAAACGGATTGACTGTGGGGTGTAGAGGAATCTCAAATTCCAAGAGGGTGAAAACACCCCTCAAATATTACAGTATTTATTATTTAAAAAACGGTTAGTCTTTCGGGAGAACGCTTGGACAAGCATAATTTATTTGTTTTTTTTACATATTTTGAATTTTTTTTAAAAAATCATACAGGGTGTTCCAAAAAGTTGGGTAATTTCTTAACCACGATTCTGCTTAAACTGCTTGACGTAAAATGTTTATTTTTGGCAAACGGATTTTTCGAAAATCAAATTCCAACGAGATGAAACTACCCCTCAAATATTACCAAATTAAATAATAATATTGGGGGTGTAAGGGATCACAACACAAGATTAAGTTGATCCAAATGACAACCTCACCTGCACGCGGTGCACCCTGCCAGTAACTAACGAGGCTCTGTCGACCGAGTGACTGTCGGTATAAGCAGTCCCCTTTTGATAGCCAACAGCTTCGGGTGGAGGAGCTGGCTATCAAGAGGTAAGAGCCATCTCACAGTCCATGGATTGAGAAATCGGTCCAAAAGGCGGATGAACCAACACGGTCAACGGCATGAGAATGCAGAAGGCAATGGGAAACCATTGCATTAAAGATCATATCGATTCTCCCTAGTACAAATCATCATGGCTGAAAACAACAAACAAACGGCCCTCAGTCCCCGGCAGATCTTAAATGATCAGAGGGTGCGAAGAATCCCCGGGTCAGCTATGAGAATTGGTAAATGGGACGTACGCAGTTTATATGAACCTGGAAAAATACATAATGTTATCCAGGAGATGCAAAGGTTAGATCTAAGCATCCTAAGAATCAGTGACACTAGATGGCCGAATTCTGGACAACAATCAATAGACAACGGCACCATTTATTATTCAGGAAATGATGACAGCCACCATAGATATGGAGTTACGATCGTGGTATCCAGTGAAATCAATAAATCAATAATAAAATTTACCCCTATATCATACCGAGCCATGTTACTCCAACTTCAAACGAATCATTGTAAATTAAACATAATTCAAACATACGCCCCTACAGCAGATAAATCTGACGAAGACATTGAGGAATTCTACATCGAAATCAATAACATCATGCAATCTCTAAAATCAACACATAACACTAGTATTAGGAGACTTCAATGCCAAGATTGGCAGGGGGAGATTTGATAATTGTCTGGGAGAATATGGACTTGGTAGGAGAAACGAAAGAGGCGACAAACTGCTGCAATTTTGCCAAGAGAACGATTTTATTATATCGAACACGTTCTTCAAACTTCCAAACCGTCGTTTGTACACCTGGAAATCTCCGCAAGACAACAAACAAAATATAGTCAGGAACCAAATTGATTGCATCCTGATAAACCACAGATATAAAAATGTAATCAAATCAGTAAAAACCTACACAGGGGCAGATGTCTCATCGGACCATAATCCCTTAGTAGCCCGGTTTTTAATAACACTTAAAAAACAACGAGTAATACCAACAGCAAATCGTATAGACGTATCGGGTCTAAAAATCCAAGAAACAAGGCAAAGGCTACAAAATAAGATCAACGATAACCTCAGAACCCTCAAAAACAATCAAATAACAACGGAAAAAGCATTGAGCCGAGCAAGACCATTCTGACAAAACAGAAAATAGGGAAAAAACAGGAATGGATGACTCCAGAAATTTTGAAATTGATGAACGAACGACGTGGTGTAAAAGACAACAACGACGCATATAAGAATATTCAGAAAGAAATCCGATCAAAAATAGAGAGAAACGAAGGTGTTCTACAAAGAAAAATGCGACGAAATGAAGCCCTTCCAAAGAAAACATGACGACACAATGTCCACAAGAAAGTAAAAGAACTGGCAGGATTACAGAAAAAAAGACAACCGTCAATACTCACTGACCAGAATGGCAAAATCATTATGGAAATGGAAGAAAAACTAAGAACGTGGAAGAATTACATAATAGAATTGTTCGATGATGAGAGAGATATAAACAGACTAGTAACAGAACAAGAAAACAGCGGACCGGAAATAACTAAAGAAGAGGTCATCCATGCTATAAAAATCACAAAAGATGGAAAAGCCGCAGGGCATGATGAGTTACCCTCTGAAATTCTCAAGTTGATAGAAGAGGAAAACATACACAGATCTGTTCAACACCATATACAGAACAGGTATTATACCCAGGGAATGGTTGCTATCAGCGTTCGTCACTATCCCGAAAAAACGTAATGCAAGGCAATGCACAGACTTTCGAACAATCCGTCAATGAGTCATACGCTAAAAATACTTCTGAAGGTGATACATCACAGGATTTACAAAACATTAGAACAGGATATCAGCGAGACTCAATTCGGTTTCCAAGATGGCTTAGGCACAAGAGAAGCACTATTTGCTTTGAACGTTCTCGCCCAACGATGTATGGATATGAATCAGGATCTCTATATATGTTTCATTGATTACAACAAAGCCTTCGATAGGGTCAGACACGAACAACTTATCCAGGTTCTGAAAGAAAAGAACTTATACACCAGAGATATAAAAATTATTACGAATCTTTATTTTAATCAAAAAGCAGTGGTAAAAATAGAAGGGAATAACACCGAAGAAATAGAAATCCGTCGAGGCGTTAGGCAGGAGTGCGTGCTAATAACATCACCGATGTTATTTAACCTCTATTCAGAGGAAATAATGAAACGAGCATTGGACGATGAAACGAAAGGACTAAAAATTAACGGAGTGCCTATCAACAATATAAGATATGCGGATGATACGATCCTGATGGCTGCCAACCTAAACGATTTATAGATATTAGTAGATAAAGTTAATACATCGAGTGAAGAGCTCGGACTGTCACTAAATGTAAAAAAGACAAAATTTATGATAATAACCAAAACAACACCAAACAATTCACAAATTCATATAAATAACCACACCATAGAAAAAGTTGACAGTTATAAATACTTAGGTATAATTGTAAATAAAAATAACGACTGTTCTGAAGAAATTAAAACTAGAATAGGACAGGCGAGAACAACATTTGTGAAAATGAAAAGAGTGCTCTGTGGCAGCGATCTCAGCTTGGATTTAAAAATCAGAATGGTGCGATGCTATGTTTTGTCGGTGCTGTATTATGGTGTAGAGACTTGGACTCTGAATAAACTTGACATAGGGAAACTAGAGGCATTCGAGATGTGGCTGTACCGTAGAATGCTTAGGGTAAAATGGACCGATAAAGTGACCAACATGGAAATCCTGAAAGGAATAAAAAAGGAAAAAGAATTATCATAACGGTAAAAAAGCGTAAACTTCAGTACCTTGGACACGTCATGAGAGGAGAAAAGTACCACCTACTGATATTACAAGGAAAAATTCAAGGAAAGAGAAGTGTAGGAAGAAGGCGCCACTCATGGATGAGAAACTTACGTGACTGGTTCGGGTGCACCACAAACCAACTATTTCGGTCGGCTGTGTCACGAATACGTATAGCACTGATGATTGCCAACCTTCGCTACGAAGAAGGCATTTGAAGAAGAAGATATAATAATATCGCCATATTGTTTTTTTCTCATGCTGACATAAATGTAAGAAAATTTTATCAAGTTTGAACGCGAACGAAGTCGCTGGTACACGCTAGTACTATTATATTATACTAGAAGACTCTTATATTGTACCTCCCTTTAAAAAGTAACAAATATTTTCAATTCTGGAATTTTGTCTACAATAATGTTATTACTTTACTTACCTTGTATAGTTCGCTACATTTTGCGGAAGTGCATACTGTGACAGGCTGATCCAACTTTTTAGTTTTAATATCCACCACGGGCATGTACAGTTTGTTTTTCAACTCGTCCAAAGTCTGATTATCCATAGACAATTCTTTCGTATGTTGCTCTAATTTGTATATATTGTCGCCGATAAGCTGAACAATATCAGCCATAGGCTGCGCTAGTTTCAGTATCATATTCCTGGCACGATTGATACTTGTAGTTTTTTTAGGATCGTGCGGTTGCAAATGGACGATGTAAGAGAGTAACCTAAAATGATTAAAAATAAATATAGTCTTATTTTTCTTCTTCTTAGGGTACATACATAGTGAGGCATCTCGCACACTTACTCGCCGTTTTAAAACAGTGCGCGTAGGATGCATCGCGGCGAGCATCGCTTTGAGATGTCCCACTATGCTTGTACGCCATACTCAACACATCCCAACTAGCATTTATAGTGGCAGATACGTAACAGCTACTATCAAAGCCACTACAAAGTGGGCGGTGACCATCGGCGGCTTCGTCGTATATTCGTAGCTGCTAAGTAACTGCGACCAAAATGGGGAAAGATTTTGAGTAGCCGGGTAGTGTCTTGGGTAGTTTTTGCCACTTAAAGTGTTAGTATGATGTGTTACTATAAAGTAGCCTACTGGGGAATGCCACTTATCTGTTACGGAGCTGCCTAGTCGCGGATTCGTGGCAGCCAAGTGTTATCCACCGACATGTGGAACTTTCGTTAAACTGTTGAACTTTATTCGCAGCGACCTCTTCATGCAATTTCACATTTCATAAAAATAAATGTCATGATGGAAAATAATTATGAAGCCATTATTATTTTTTCGTTATTTAATTTGTTATTTACCGTGCGATTTTAACGCCTTTTTTAGGTAAATTCTAGAACGCAATCAACTTTACTGAATAAAATAGTGGGTTTATATAACAAAATTTTCGAGCGCCTCTCAAAATATTTCAAATTATTATATTATTTGCAATAAAAACTCATGTTTGTAATTAAAAAATAATAATAATTTGCTTGAAACCGGGGTCAAATTTTAAAATATTAGTCCACCGTCAGAAATAACAAAATAACTAAAGAAAAAAGCTTTAATCTAGGTATATTTAGCTTAAAAACGCATAATGTTTGAGCCATTTGGCTGTTCGTCTAAAAATTCATGAAAAAAATATGGCCGTTTAATCCGAAAAATACTGTATAGTCCCATATGCTTCCACAAAGTACCGGGAACAATAACATATTAGGCCAACCCTACCCGTTTGAACCTTTAAAATCTTCGGATTGATAAAGTGACAATTGTAGCTATCCAAAGGCGACTTTATAGAAACAATAACTTTTTTGGAACTACATGGTCAACGATTCTTTGGAACCATAAAGTGATTTTTCCAAGAATGTTCCCTGCGCCACCAAATTACCACTTAATTGGAGCGTTGCTACACTGATCGTGGTGGTGGCGACTATACATTCCATTGGTGCCACTATAACGTTCCGCCTTGTCCTTTGAAGTTATTTTTTATTTATTGTGCATTTTCTATTATAAGTGTTTCTATATTATTCAGAGCTACAAGAGGTATAGAGTATTTTAACGCCCACTCTTTTAGCTCTTGTTTCATATTGTTATTGGTTCTCAAATTAGTTCTCCTCTGAGATTCAGTTTCAGATGAACTAACACTACACTCATCTACAGAAACAGCTTCAAAAATGTCTCAGTCACTAACTGATTTATGATGTTCATCAGTAGGACTATAGAAAGATGTAGTTTTTGTTTCTGATGTTGATGCATCGGCTCGCAGTGATTCATTTTGTTTAATTCTTCGATAGAAAGTACTAGATATTCTAAATTTCTTTTTATTCACCTTAGGGATTTTACAAAATTTTAATACAGCTTAAAAGCAAGTAAAAGAAAACATTAAAACAGAGCAGCACACTATGCAATCTGACGCAATTATATTTATTAGGGTATATTAAGTTACGGTCACTATAAAGTAGCCGTTTTTGACCCCCGTGACTTTTTAGTGGCAATGGATGTGCGACGGCTACTTTATAGTGACCTAGGAAGGTAGCAGTAACCATTTTGCTACTTTCAATGCTACTATAAATTAGTAACTAGATATGTACGACTACCCCGTAACAATTATTTACTACAAAGTAACAAAAACTTAATGGAGGCATTATGGTAGCACTTGTTGGTAACCCTTACTTTAAAAAGCTACTATAAAGTTTTTGGTCTTTTATGGTGTCATATTCGAAAATTCGGGTAGTTCCAGCCACTTCTTTAAATTACATTTTTGTGACTTGCAATCGGGGTGTTTATTTTCCACTTTTATTGTAGGTAGGGACTAACCGGTCACTCTCGAAATATACTTCAAAGTGGCTATTCCTTATAAAGTAACATTTTAAGTGGCAGAGTGGACCTAGGAACTATACTTTAGGGGCAGTGACATTTTAAAAAGGACTGGGAACTATATTTGCTAGTTGGGATACGTTGTGATAAAGATCATTGTATAGATGTTAATAATTTAAAATTAAACAAGTCTCAAATTACAGAAAATTAGATGCGTATTAGAGCGTCAAAGTAAGTAAATGTAAAGATGAACAGCGATAATGGTCTAATTCCTTTCAGTTCCTGTTGCTCTAGTGTCGGTATTTAATTTATAAGCTCCATTGGTTATGACTCGCTTGGCTAATGCTCCTCATAGATTGTGTATCTCAAGAATCGGAGGAAGAGAAAGAGAGATAATATATCCTCTATTATAAACTCGAGACAACACCGGTATCAGGTCTAAGGACAGACCAAGTTAAAGACATAGAGGAGACGGAGACAGATCTTCCACCTTACGGGAACCTCGGCCGAAGACAAGGTCCTCGCCTGTGAAGGGCCCGGAGGCTAAACTCCAACCGTAGAAAGATGTATACCCTCGTAGGAGGTAGACGTCCACTCCTCGGACAAAGAACATCTGTTGTCAAAGGAGGATGGGATATACCTGTCCCCCTTCAACAGGTAAATCCCCATGTATGATGAACTGTGTTATAACTCAATAAAGAGAGACACAATAGATTTGTAAGGTTGCGGTGATTAACTCCCCCCTCACTCACACTCAAAGGTTGCAGCTGGAGAATGTAATGTAGAGATAAGAAGACGACCACAATAGCGCTTAAAATTGATCTTCAGATTAACTAGAAGTTATAATGCCTTACCGATAAACTTCTTTACTAGAGAAGTCCCAACTTTCCTTATTTGCTTCCAAAATACCATCTCTGAAGGTGACGTTCTGTTTGGCGGCTGCGAAATAACGAAATGCCTCGTTGTCGAAACAAAAGACGTTCAAGTAACTCAGTGGCAGCGTCACGTTGTTCGTTTTCTTAATATTACCTAGTGTTAGGAAAAATCGAATGATTACAATCCTCGACTATTGATCCTCGAAGATTCCAATAATCAGATGATCACCCGAGGAATCCTCGGTCATAATTTTTTTTCTGTATAATATTTCTATCGATACCTGAATTAATGCTCGGCGCTGGGTGTTATTTGTAGTGTTGGAAAAAATCGGATGATTTCAATCCTCGAGTATTGATTCTGGAGGATTCCAATAATCATAAATTTTTTTCTGTATAATATTTCTATCGATACCTGAATTAATGCTCGGCGCTGGGTGTTATTTGTAGTGTTGGAAAAGATCGGATGATTTCAATCCTCGAGTATTGATTCTGGAGGATTCCAATAATCGGATGATCACCCGAGGAATCCTCGGTCATAATTTTTTTTCTGTATAATATTTCTATCGATACCTGAATTAATGCTCGGCGCTGGGTGTTATTTGTAGTGTTGGAAAAAATCGGATGATTTCAATCCGCGAGTATTGATCCTCGAGGATTCCAATAATCGGATGATCACCCGAGGAATCCTCGGTCATAAAAGTTTCTCCGTATAATATTTCGATCGATACGTGAATTAATGCTCGGCGCTGGGTGTTATTTGTAGTGTTGGAAAAAATCGGATGATTTCAATCCTCGGGTATTGATTCTGGAGGATTCCAATAATCGGATGATCACCCGAGGAATTCTCGGTCATAATTTTTTTTCTGTATAATATTTCTATCGATACCTGAATTAATGCTCGGCGCTGGGTGTTATTTGTAGTGTTGGAAAAAATCGGATGATTTCAATCCGCGAGTATTGATCCTCGAGGATTCCAATAATCGGATGATCACCCGAGGAATCCTCGGTCATAAAAGTTTCTCCGTATAATATTTCGATCGATACGTGAATTAATGCTCGGCGCTGGGTGTTATTTGTAGTGTTGGGAAAAATCGGATGATTTCAATCCTCGAGTATTGATCCTCTAGGATTGCAATAATCGGATGATCACCCGAGGAATCCTCGGTCATAACATTTTCTCTGTATAATATTTCGACCGATACCTGAATTAATGCTCGGCGCTGGGTGTTATTTGTAGTGTTGGAAAAAATCGGATGATTTCAATCCGCGAGTATTGATTCTGGAGGATTCCAATAATCGGATGATCACCCAAGGAATCCTCGGTCATAATTTTTTTTCTGTATAATATTTCGATCGATACATGAATAAATGCTCGGCGCTGGGTGTTATTAATATTACCTATCAAAACTTCCAACGAAATGTAAGTTTCTCCAGGTGTATAATTCTGCCCCCTAGTGTTGGTGAAGACAAAGCAGATGTTCTCCGTGGCCGATTTCTCCAAACGAGACAGTATCTGGACCACGCAGTAGTTCATGAACACGTCCAGACGCGTATTGGTGGGTTTGAGCAGGATGCACACGGCGTGGATCTTCGACAATTGTCCGACGTAGTTCAAAATGTAGTCGCAGTTTTTGCTATCCTGCGAGATTCCCCTGGGATCGCCCATTCCCGGCGTGTCTATCAACTGTATTTTGTATGGCTTGTCGTCGATGCTTACGTTAAACACGTAAGTCCTGACAGTTTGTGTGGCTGCAGCCCCTGGTGTCAAATTTTCGTTGTCGTCACTCGGGCCGATTTCAATTGATTTTTTACGAAAAAATCTGAAAAAAAGAAAAAAACCCTCATTTCAATGTTTGCCTGATTTGTTTTTACTTTGTGACGACTGAAAAATATCAAAATTTTCCTTGATTTAGTAATAACAATCTTCGGATTGTCACGGGGTTTTTAACAAGACACTGTTACCTTAATGGTTAGGAACAGTTTTCGTTCCGGAGATATTCGTTGTAAAATATTTCGGAAAACAGAAAAAAATACTTATGTGTAGATTTTCTCAAATAACTGAAAATCTCCTAGAGATATCGCTAAACGGTTTCCTGCAGTCAGTTCTACATAAAATGAACTATCAGTAAGAATATTTTAGTTGCGATCTGAGATATTTCGGTTTTTGACAAAATCGACAGGGTGGTGCCGAGGATTTTTTTTTCGAAAAATTTTGGAAAATCGATTTTGCTTATTTCAGAATAATCCTAATAGTATTATTGTAGTCCTAAATGTGTAATTTACTAAACCGTTTCGTTTTTGAGATTGGCAGTTTTTGTTCAAGATATTCGTTGTTAAATATTTCGGAAAACAGAAAAAAATCCTTCTTTTGTAGATTTTCTCAAATAACTGAAACACCTTAAGAAAAAACGGCGAAAATTTTTCTGTAATTAGTGTTTTCGTTTAAATTTTTGAAAAGCTTTATGTCAATTTTTAGTAAATTATGTCTAGAGATTGACCTTGCCAAAATTATAATTGATTGCCACTCTCCAGCCGTGAAGAAAAACAACTGAAGAGAAACTGAACCCATTTTTTAAAAATATATAGAATTATACAGGGTGTCCCCAAAAAAGTTACACATCAAAGTTGTGTTTTTTCTAATAGAATACCCTATATATTAATTAATTTTCGGATTTTAGGAAAAACATTAGGGTGAGTTTTATTAAAAAAGTACATACCTAAAATCTAAGGATTTTGACATATTTCACATTTTGTGAAAATGAAGAGTAAATTTTAAATTTCGATAACATCTACCTAAATTTTAGTTGACCTTGTATAGCCTGATATTTAATTACAGTAGCCATTGTATGATAAAGCAAATGGAAATTTGACCCGAAAAGTTATACAGGGTGATAAAAAATTAATATGGCACTTTTAAAAGCACAAGTTACTCCTTTATTTTAAATGGGACACCCAGTATATTTTTCAGTGTTCAATGGGGAATTTATATATCTTCCAAATATTATTAAGGTTGTCTACCCCTCAGACAAAGATTTTCCTAGATATTTTAATTTTTATGATTTTGCGTCAGTAGATCTTTATTATTTGAGAAATCTAGGGTGGCTGTGTGTGATGTACCTTTTTTTTAACTTAACAAAAATTAAAGATTGTATTGTAAAATACTCAACGGTAATAAAAAGATACACGTTTAAAACATATTTTAATTATTACAGAATTAAAACTAGATATAAACCTATAATTATGTAACAAAAATTATTTAATATCGGAATAATATACGGGCTGTTCCATTTAAAATAAAAGAGTAAAATGCTTTTAAAGATGACCAATGTTCAATATTAATTTTGTCTCACCCTGTATAACTTTTTGGATCAAGTTTTAATCTTATTTAAAGTACAATAGTTAATTTAACTACATATTAGGCTATACCGGGTAAATTCCAATTCAGGTAGCTTTTATTGTAATTTAACTGTTAATTTAATTGTTCTTTCAATTTAAAAATTTCTAGAAAATGTAAATTATTATGTCAAAAACAGGTTTAAAATAGGTTTTAGTCTCTTATAAAACTTACCCTTATTTTTCTCCCAGAATCCAAAAATCAATTAATATATAGGGCGTTCCATTACAAAAAAAACACCACTTTGATATGTAACTTTTTTTGGGGACACCCTGTAGAACTCTATATTTTTAAAAAGTGCTCTGAATTAACCTACATATGCTCACAAAATTTAATTTCAATACAAACTGTCGTTCTCACTGTAGCCTCCGCGGCGTATGAGAGGAGCCACCCTGTATTACTTTTTTTAATAAAACTTGCAACACTGATTGTATTGTTTTTTTATAAAAAAATAATGCTTCTAAGCAAAATAACTTTCTGAATACAAAATAAACATTAAAATAAAGTTTTTCGGTCCCACAGACTGATGTTAGTACCTACTAATGTTACAAAAATCGTTGTTACAATCTGACATCTAATATTTATAGGGCGTTTTCCTGAATATTGGGTCGCCCTGTTAGCCTTGAACATAGCCTTGAATCAATACTTACCTGTCAAATACATGAAATTTTGACGGAATCAACACAATCAGTTCGTTTTTCTCCACTTCGTCAAAATATTTGTATTTGAGATAATTAGCGAAAGAATTAATGAAAGTTGACTTTCCCACACCGGATTCTCCTAGAAGCAGTATGTTGATCTCCGAACTGAAAACGTTTCCATTTGGTCCGTTTCCAGGCCCAGAAGTCCTACTCGAATTGATAGTATCCATATCCGAAACGGCTCTGAAACGAAGAAATAATAATATTATACTGAGTGACAAAAAAAAGGGAACAAATAATTATAAGATTTTTATTATTGTTGGTTTGGTTTGGTTTGGTTTGGTTGGCCGAGAGCTAATTACTCCGAACCAATGGGCACTTACCCTAGTATCCTACAGGCAGAAATCTACGCTATCGAGAGATGCGTACAACTTATCTTAGATAGGAACTATCGGAAACAAGAAATAGCTATCTTATCTGATAGTCAAGCAGCGTTAAAGGCGATCAACTCAGTATCAATCAATTCGAAATTGGTCAAAGAATGCATAGAGAAGCTGAATAAATTAGGCAAAGAAAACAAAGTCCTCCTACACTGGGTGCCTGCTCACCAAGGGATAGAAGGCAATGAAAAAGCAAATAATCTAGCTAGGAAAGGAGCGAACACTCCACTAACTGGACCAGAACCGTTCTGCTTTCCAAGTGGTAAACCAACTCAAGGCGGAACTCAAGAACTTGGAAGATTCCATCCGCAACCTGGAATGCAAATCTTGCAATGGTCTAGGACACTCGGAAGAAGTTTCTGAGGGCTTTATGATCAAGAAAAATCACAGATCTTCCTGGGTCTGAGTAAGAACAATCTTCGGATTGTCACGGGGTTTTAACAGGACACTGTCTCCTCAATGAACACCTCAGTAGATTGAAACTAAGAAGAAACGGCGAATGCAGATTCTGTGGGGAAGATGGTGAAACACCAGTACACCCTCATCACTGAGTGCGCCGAGACGACAACCATTCGTGCCATGAATTTTGGTACGACTGATATTGGAGATGGAGAACTACCCTTCTATAAAACCGTCCAGGTTACTGGCTTTTGTCAAAGCCCTGGGACTGTATGATGAGTTATGATTGAAGAAAGGGGGACACAATGGATCTGTAAGGTCGAAGTGATTAACCCCCCTCCCACTCATTCTAAATTCTAAAAAAAAAAAAAAATATATTGTTGGTGTACAGGGTGGGCTCGAATTCGGAATTCGACGCTCATCAATGGGATTTCCGAAACCGTAAGCAGGGACGGATACAGGAATTTATTTTAGCGGGGCCCAAATAAAAAATAATGGAGAATATGCTTTTTAGGGCGCTATTTTTAACCCAAAAGCCTAATATATAACCCAATTTATGGATTTTAGGGGGGCCCGGGCCCCATGGGCCCCCCTCTGTATCCGCCACTGACCGTAAGAGATACCGGATCGGTTAAATGGAGGCAAAGTTGCGCAATTTGATGCTCAAAAAATGTCGTATTGCATTTTTTTATTATTTTTTTTGCATAAAATATTCTGGTGATGGAATTTTCTATACGAAACGTCGGCAAATATCAAAGTGACTATATATATAGTGTTTTAAGAGTGATAAAAGGATTTAATTAAATTGAAAAAAAATCAGGTCCGTATTTAAAAAAATTAAGTTGATGATGGTCGCCAGAAGCCGAAACGTCAGAGTCAATCTTTAATCACACAGAGTTATAGAGCAGAAGTGGCCATGCAAATGTGTTTTTCATTTTAAGTTATCTTAACAAATAAAGCCAGGAAACAATAGAAAACAAAGTTGAAAATTCAGGTTTTTTTTTCGAATATATTCGGAGATATTCGAAATTTTTCAAAATGCAATACGTCATTTTATTGAGCATCAAATTGCGCAACTTTGCCTCCATTTAACCGATCCTGTATCTCTTAGCCCACGGCCACACAGAAAGCGTTTTTTTGCGTCTTTAGCGTGAAGCGTCTTTAGCGACTAAAACAAAATAACAGGATTATATAGGAGTGGCCACACCAAAAGCGTGTAGCGTTCGGCGTGTCTCGCAAATAAAAACAAATCAGTTTATTTTCTGTAGCGTCTTTAGCGTTTTCTAAGATGAGACCCCGTCATAGGCGGACGTTATATTTAATAATACAATAAAAATAAATTAAATAGTATGCATTTTTTTTTTCATTTTAGGGTATTATCTAAAAATATTTTTATAAAGAACATCTACTGTTTAGGAAGATTCTATTAAATTCAAAAATTTGAAGGAAATGTTTGAAAAAGTGTAGTTTGAAATGTTGAAAAAGTAATAAAGGAATATTTTTTTACGCGTAAAAAATAACTTTTATGCGTAAAAAATGTTTTTTTTTCTGCGTAAAAAAGGTTTTTTTAACAGAAACAAATAGTTTTTGACGAGTAAAAAATAGTTTTTTACATGTAACAAATAGTTTTTTTACACGTAAAAATATATTTTTGGGAAAAAGAGGTTTTTACTAGAAACAATAAGTTTCTGACGCGGAAAAATTAGTTTTTTACGTGTAACAAATAGTTTTTTACACGTAAAACATATTTTTTTGCGTAACAAAAGGTTTTTTACCAGAAACAATAAGTTTTTAACGCGTAAAAAAATAATTTTTTACAGATAGTTTTTTACACGTAAAAATATTTTTTTGTGTAAGAAAGGTTTTCTACCAGAAACAATAAGTTTTTGACGCGTAAAAAAATAGTTTTTTACGTGTAACAAATAGATTTTTACACGTAACAAATAGTTTTATAAGCGTAAAAAATAGTTTTCTACCAGTAACAAATAGTTTTATACGCGTAAGAAATAGTTTTCTGTAACAAATAGTTTTATACGCGTAAAAAATAGTTCTTTAACTTATAATTTTATTCACTTTTACAAAATTTGTATTCAAATATCAATATTTTTGATAACCACATGGACTGCTCACAAATACACGTCGCGTCACTACGTATTTCTAAGCCGTTAACACTTTTCGTTACAACGAGCTCGTGTGTCAGGGCCGTCTCACTAGCTCGTATGTCACGGCCTTGAATTTTTACTCCCAGCGCGCGTAAAGAAGTTTCACTCCAAAAAGTTTCATAAATCATGTCCTAAAATTGCATTAGCAACTAGAAATATTTACTATTCTATTATATAATAATAATTATTTATTATATTATATTATAATTATAACAAGTACTAACCACAACACTACAACATAAAAAAAATATACACATATAACCTAAAATTCGTAAAATAAATGGCAAATAACTATTATTATTTTTACACACACCACTGGCACTAGCAATAGATTGTGTTTGTCTCCGAATATATGCCCCGGCCCGTCCACAATTCAATCCCAGCATCTTTTATCTTCGTCTCTTCAACGCTAACGGCGCCGATCTCGCGTATCTCTTTCTCACAGGATTGATTGTTGGACGGGCCGGGAATCCACGAGCTTGTGACGTTACTAATTGACATCTTGTCATCTGTCTTTTGCGTGTTTTTAATGGACACAAATCGAAAAAAGCGCTTAAAATGGTAAAATCGCAAAAAGCGCTTGAGACGCAAAAAACGCAAAACGCTAAAAACGCTTTCTGTGTGGCCGTGGGCTTACGGTTTCCAAAATCCCAATGATGAGCGTCGAATTCGAGCCACCCTGTACAGGGTATCCCTTTTTAGTTAAAATTATACGGCACATCCGTTATTAGTGAAAATAGGAGGATGCGGTGTGCACAAATCTATCCCACTTTTTTGTCAAACGGAAGTTGCTGTAAACAAAATTTTCATAGCCCTCTTCGTTTCTGAGCTACAGGGTATTTTCAAAAATTTTATTATTATTATTAGTATTCTCGTATAATGATACAGAGGTTAGCTGAGTTAGCTCTGCAATATATTTTTTTTTAATTTAGAAATAATAAAAATCTAAATGGACCAGAGAAAGAAAAATTTAAACACTTCAAAGAACTTCTGACACTGATATTCGGTAAGTTATTGATAGATCAATATAGATAGATATGTTTAATATTCAATAATCAGTTTCATTTATCATATCAATTTAAGGGTGAGATTGTTAATCTGGAAATAAGATACAACAAAGTCCAACAGAGTGCTCGATGAATGAGTATGCTAATAAACCAACTGCTTGGATTGAAAAGTGGAGAAAAAAATGACTAAACGAGGTCCACCAAATCGTGGCGATATACCAGTGTTTACCATTTTAGTATGTTGTTATACTAGGTACTTATATTTTTAATATATTTTGATACAAATTCTGTTCTTTTACAGTGTTTTCTTACTTCTGGTTTCTGCAGTGTAAATAATTATTATTATTGTGTTATTTGCGCTATTCCGTTCCATGATTTACAAATATAAGAATTTTATTTTTTTACCACTTAATCCATTTTATGGAAGAAAAATGGTACATTTAATACAAAACAAAAATGGAACAATTTTAAGGCTACTTCTCTTGAACTTACGATCGAGATACTTTTGGAAAATACAAAGTTTTGCCTTCCTAATTTTCGTTCTAAAAAGATATAATTGGTATCATTGAATAAATATTTCTTAAAAAGAACGAAAAGTTAGGCATCAAAACTTGTATTATTTCCTAAATTCGTTCATAAGAAGTAGTTTTATCTAGCACAAGATGTATATACGAAGCAAAATACATACGAATATACGCGGTAGTCACAACTGCAATTTGTAAACATAGTTTAAACGTAATACGCAAGCATTGTGTATCCTACGGCACACTGTGTATCCGTTACTTTGTATATACGTAAATGCTATACTGTGGCTACATTGTGTGAGGCGGACGTTTAACCTTTGTGCATACGTGTTGAACTACAATGTGTAAACGTAGCATATTTACATCGGGGGAATTGTGTCACCCTGTGTCTACATCTAATAATGTAAACACATCGTAAATGTGATTTGATGTGCTGTATGGGGTAATGTTCTGGGGAGGTATTATACTAGGAGCAAAAACTCCATTGTTACCACTTCAACTAATTTTAACGGGTCGGAGATATGTTGACTTGGTGCTAGAACCAATCGTTAGTCTATGGAGAGCTGCAATTGGGGATAATTTTAACTACATGCGCGATAGTGCACCTCCCTATGCCACCAGAGTGACTAGAGAACGTTTTGAAACGGAAGGTGTCATAGTTTTGGACTGGCCTGTCTATTTACCAGATCTAAACCCCATCGAACACTTGTGGGACTAGCTCAAAAGAAGGGTTAGAGCTCGTCGTAACAATCCTGGAAATCTCGCACAGATTATTGATGCAGCATTAGCATAATGGGAAAACATACCCCAAGACAACGTGGATAATTTAACAAGAAGCATGCCAGCGCGGATAGAAGCTTGCATAAGGGCTAGAGGTGGCAACAAAGAATATTAAAATTATCAATTTTCTTTTTGTTTAAGCTTTTTGGCCATTAAAAATTTAAATCTTAATTTCGTTTCAGGAACCAAAAAAATACCATTTTGTTTATTTTGGGAACTGACTATTTTTTTTGCTATATGGATTATTTTTCATGAAAAGTCATTGGTAAGGTCTGAGTTTTATTCATAAACAGAAAATTTTCATACATCTCAAAAATTATGGAAAATAATAGGTGATTCCATATAAATTTGGTTGTGTGTATTTATAAATCATATGGCCCGCCTTTTACCTTGTTTGGGCTGGTGCCAAGTTTTGGGTTCGTTGCAGGACTATTAGAGCTACAATTTAAAAATATTTTTACAAGATACAGAGTGTCCCAAATAAATAAATAAAAAATATCAAAGTTGTATTTTTTTAAACCAAACCAAAACACCCTGTATATTATTACATTTTTAGTTTCTACGATTAAAATAAAGATAAATTTGACTAAGGTTTACCGCATTTTAATCTTACTAAAGTTTTTCTATTTACTAAATTTTGTGTTGCAATATTAAAAATTATACTACCTTATATAGAGTGTCTGAAAATTGATTTTATATAATTACTAGCTTTAAATTCTCAGCAAAGAATCAGATGCACAATTTTATTGTCTATCAAATTGTTTATACCATTATTTACCTATCTCTTCAAGTTTTCGTAGAAAATGTATTTTCTTATAACTTAGACCTCATTTATCAATATACCAATGGAATATTGACATTTTAGATTATTTTTTAAAGATGTAACAAATTTTTAAAGAGTACATATACTAAATATTGTCGATATAGTTTGTTTATTTCATTAAAAAATGAAAAAACGGTTTAAATATTTGTTAAAGAGGAACAATTAATATGATTCCAGTATTCAAACTACATTAATTGACTGCGTTGATTAATAATAATTGCTCGAAATACTAAAAAACTGAATTTTGTATGTGACAGTCTGGTAAAAGTAACACCTTAAAAAGTTTAAAAAATGTCTGTACCTATGTGGCGGATTCATCTCTCCAAAAAATCCTATATGGGTAGGTAGTTATTTTTTGTAAACACTTCTGCGTTAATCCCAAACGAAATTACTTGTCAGAAGTTAGGTTTACAGATATACAAATTTGCCTCGAACCAAAAAATGCTTAACGTTTCGGAAAGTTCTTGTTCGTTAGGCAAATTTGTATATCTGTAAACCTAACTTCTAATAAGTAGTTTCCGTTTGGAATTAACGCAGAAGTGTTTACAAAAAATAACTATTTTATTTTGTAGATTTTCTTACAGTGGCGAAACACCCATATTATCATTTAACACCCAGGATTTCTTAAAAACTTTATTTCATTTTTTGACGAATGCTTATTTATAACAACAGAGACGTTTATTTTCATAACTTATTATTTTATTGATTTCTGATTCAAAAAAAAACTAAAGATGTAATAATATACAGGGTGTTCCATTTAAAAAAATACAACTTTGATATTTTTTATATATTTGGGACACTCTGTATCTTGTAAAAATATTCCTAAATTGCAGCTCTAATAGTCCTGCAACGAACCCAAAACTTGCAATTTGTAAAAATCTAATCGTTTATCTACATTAATCCGTGTCGTATGTGGTGAACAACCCTGTATATTTGAAATATTCTAGAGAATAATAAATTTCATATATAAATACTTTCATTCACTTACCTGAAATACTTGTTCAGTTTTTAAAAAAGAGTACTAACAATGCAGAGCGAATTTAAACCATATTTATATAAAATTTTAAAGAAAAACAACTTGTTATATTAATTATTGTTAAGGAGCAGTGGCGTACCTAAACCTAAAACTACTACATTTTAAGACTTGATTTAAATTCAATATTAGTTATTGTTTTGCCTGTAACTAGTAACTATTTAGTTCAGTCATTGGGGATTTTTGCTTGGAAAAAAGTCCGGAAGTTTTGCAACTTTGCAGGTTTATAGGTTTTGGGGTCCCGAACTTAAAATCCATAAAATGCACATTTCCAGACCACCCAAAATAGGTATTTTGTGAATATCTCGAAAACTATGCATTTTTCGCGAAAATTTGAAGAGAGCAAAATTAAAGAAAATAAAATTTCCTATAAAAAAGGTTTTATAAAATTTTTTGCTAAAGTCAACCGTTTAGGCACAAAATCCCTGGAAATTTTACAATTTTGCGTAAAATACGATATATTATGTATAGTCGATTTTCCGAAATCAAATATAGATTAGGGTTCACTAAAACTAAAACGTTTTAGTTTAGTTTCTTCAATTTTGTCATAAAACAGTGGCGTATCATTAATTCGCTCATTAATTTATGAATAATTAATTTTAATAATTGAAAATGCGTACTTGTTTCTACACCACCCAAGAGGTAAAGTATACGGCGCGTTTATTTTAACGTGGTCTCCCCGGAGGCCTACTCCACTAGATAAATTAAAAACTTTAACTTATCTGCACAAGCCCGACGGATCTGGCTCATTGATGTCAAAGTCGATCGTGTCTGCTGTGCTGGGCTCATCAGGGTGGTCTCTCAATTCGTCCAACTTTTCATCTTCAGCCGCCAGAGGGATATCTACAGGCAAGTCCAACTCCTCTTCATCGGATTCGTTGAGTGACACTTCAGTGACGTTGTCACAGGATTTCCCATTGCAGTATGCACAAATCATTAAACATTTTAATCCTGCTTTTCTGCATCCGCAGGCTTTACCATAGTTGTTGGTTTTGCATTTAAAAGATAAAAATGCCAATAGGGATTTTGGAGCTGGATCTTTCAACATTGTGACTGGAGTAATGCCTGTTTTTGTTTTCTTTCAACCCCATTCTTCGGCATCTTTGGTACAACCAGACCAATGCTGAACCTGGTGGTAAGTTCGCAATGAATGCTGTCCAGCACGACAATTAATTATTCATAAATTAATGAGCGAATTAATGATACGTCACTGTTTCATGACAAAATTGAAGAAACTAAACTAAGACTAGTTTTAGTGAACCCTAATCGACATTTGATTTCGGAAAATTGACTATACATAATATATCATATTTTACGCAAAATTGTCAAATTTCCAGGGATTTTGTGCCTAAACGGTTGACTTTAGAGAAAATTTTTATAAAACCTTTTTATAGGAAATTTTATTCTCTTTAATTTTGCTCTCCTCAAATTTTCGTGAGAAACGCATAGTTTTCGAGATATTCACAAAATACCTATTTTGGGCGCCATCTTGGCAAGATGGTGGCGCCGGCGGCAAGTCTGGAAATGTGCATTTTATGGATTTTAGTTAGGGACCCCAAAACCTATAAACCTGCAAAGTTTCAAAACTTCCGGACTTTTTTCCAAGCAGGCCCCTTTTTTGATCCCCAATGATTAAAATATGTATTCAAAAATAATCTTCAGCCATTGAGGTTTGTTCTCACAGCGTGTTCCCAACATGTTTGTGACTTCTTCCAAACCGGTGTTAATGCGCAGGTCTCAAATAATGCAGTTTCTGATCGATTTCAAACTGTCTGTGCGAACAGCGAATCCCCTACTCTTCTTTTTTGATCTAATAATACCACTAATTTTAACTCCTACGTAATAACGAATAAAGAAGAAAAGACATGTTTTAATGTTTTTGGTTTTGTTCTTTTTAATGTTTTTATGTTTTATAATTTTGATTCTTGTGTCTGTCCCGTTCCTCCATCAGCTCTTCTAGGTCTGTGTCTGTATCCGAAAATTCGGACGCCTCAGATTCTTTTCTTTATTTGTTGAAGAACGAAATACTAAACAAAAACAACACACGTTTTGTAGGTTAAGTTTACCAAGTATTGACGTCGGGTCGCAAAACGCAGGCGCCGGACACTTTACTTGCAAAAGTTCCGCGAACAGGTCTGACTGTCAGCTTATAATCAGAATTTTCTGTGTGAACAGCGTACTGTTGGTTGGAAACCAATCAAAAATTTATGTGCGAACGCGTTTTACCCTATTGCGCATGATTATCTGTTGGAAATTCTTACAGCTTTGAGAACAAACCTATGATCTTCCATAACATGTTCGGTCTTGCGATATACCGGTACCAAGACCGGTACTGTTGAAATATTCCGGTATCGGTATCGTCTTTAACGGTAAGACCGGTTTCGGTACCAGTACCGGGAGACAAATTTTGGTGCCGGTAGCGGAAGACCGGTTTAAATCGGTCCCGAAAGACCGGTTTCAATCGCTACAGAACAATAGATTCATGATAATATGAGAATCAAAAAATCTGTATAAAACGATTTCGGTACAGGTTTTTGTGGAAAGCTGATTCTATTCTCCTACTCTAAGTACCGTATGATCGAAAAAAACTGCGTCAGCGATGGCTATGAATTAAAATTATATGAGGAATTTAATCGATGCTCATTTCCAAGCCAACTGAACGCCGTTTTTTTCGATCATTCAGTATAATACGGTCAGGAACACGCAATGTAATTTACTTTTATGTATGTTTAAGGCATTGCTAGTCTAGTTTGGTCTAGTAATCTACGAGTAGTTTTCTTTTTATAGTACAACTAAAATTGAAGTAAAGCATCTTACTCATGGATCACTCATGTATTTTATAGAAATTGAAATGTCCGTAAAACTCAGATATTCAATAGCGTCTGCTCTATTATTTAAAAGAACAGCAGCTTCAAGTACTTTTTCCATTTTTAATAAGTAAAGATAATGTTGGACAAGAAATCAAGAATATGCCGAAAATGTGATCATAAACAATAAGAATTTTATATAAGTTAGATCAATAACGTTATAATGGTAACGGATTTACGATATATTCCGAGAAATCCAATTTATCCCTCAAAATACCGTACTTATTACGTTACCATTTTTCTTCTGTTTGCAGTTTTTAGAATCCAGATCTCAGATGCATACGTAGCGATAGGAAAGATCAATGTGTTCAGTAATTTTACTTTTACTGTTCATACGATACTTTTGGTTTTATTTTTCACTGTAGAATCATCCACCTAAGTTAGATACACTATTTTTTGACACCCTGTATAATTACTAACAAGGTATCACTTTTAAATATTTTTATATTACTTGGAACGTTTGAAATTATTGTTAAAAAAATGATTTGTGCCGTTTGAAACAAAAATAGCATGTTCTGTTCGGAGTAAAAATGATTTTTGTGCTTCGCCTGTATGTCAAACGTACAACCTCACCACAAAAAGTATCGTTTTTACTCCTAATAAAACAATGTACTATTTTTGCTCTTATATCGCTAAAAAATAATGACGTCCTGATTTTTGGGAAGGCTTGCCCGGGTTGGACAAGTTTTCATCTGGTAACCCTAATCTTTAACAAGCGACTTTTAAAAATCTAAAATTTCTGCATAGTGTCATACAGTGCCAAAAAATAATGTAATTATATAAATTTGTTAAGCGACATTAATGATACAGTATGATGTGTAGTACTAGTCATGACCTATGCATGCGAAATTGACTTAGATGACTGAATGATTTAGAAAGCGAATGTGGTGATTTTTAGTATCGAAGTACGTTGGCTTAGCAGACTTGCAATAATTTCTAAAAGAGTATACAAGGGATTATGGATTGAGGGAAAGAAAATGCCGCCTAGTTCCCTAGTTGTCAAAATATGTGATGTTACACCTATGGTTGCAGGTTTATTTTTTCGTATTTTTATCAATAACATTCCACCATGTCCAGGAAACCCAATACTTTAACCACAAGTCTTAACAACATATTTTTATGTGGCAAATATAAGAAAAACAAAGATAAATAATATTTTTATTACTATTATACTTATCTAAGATATCATATTATGCAATTTCTGCAGTAAAAGAATATGAAAATGCTTAAAGAGTATGTCCAACGTGTCGGGGAAGATTTCAATAGACGACTAGACGACATCCAAAAAATGACATAAAATACAATTATGATACAATTTACCTGGGAATTAAAATGACAGGCACTGACAGTGTGTCACTATCACGTATTCTCTCGATGAAAAGACTTTGGTTAACAATGTTATTAAGTACCAGAAATAATTATTCATTTAAATTTCCGATTTTTTTTAATTGTTCTGATTATTTTAATGAAAATTCCACACCTGTAATTTTTAACCAATCAAAACGTTTTTTTTATAAATCACCATGGCAACGGATAAATTTTAGTGAAAATTTTTTCCTTGTGGGCACCCAACAGCGAATTATACTGGAAATTTTTTGACGTTTATAATGACAGAATATATTTTTGAGAGTCTGGTTTTTATTTGTTTACATGATAATTTTGATACATTTCAATTACAAAGCTGAGATGAAAGTTTGTAAACTGCTTCCATACGCTTGACTTCGATTTCCTAGTATTCGCGGGTGTCAACTGCTTAATCTCCTGGCGAATATTTTCTTTGCTTTCATGACCGAAGCGAAACATTTTTTTTAAGCCGTGCCGCTTGACAGCTTCAAAACTGAAATAGTTTTTAAGTTTGGGTGTCTCTTAGTTGTCATAGTAACTAAATAATCAATTCGACCAAAAAGCGAAAAACACATTTTAATTATTTGATTTTCAAACACAATTTGGTGTGGAATTTTCTTACCGAATACCACACGAAGTCAAATTAAATCCGGACATTTTTTCTCGCTCATGAATATTTTTAGAAAATTATCCCTCGTCTTCGACTCAGGATAATTTTCAAAATATTCATGGGCTCGAAAAAATTTCCGGAAATAATTTGACCTCTAGTGGTATTACTAGTGAAAACTTTTCTAAATACAGGGGGTTTCAAAAAACATGTGCCATCTCTCGTGGGAGGACTTCTCAGGTAAAAATAAGGTTTATTTTTTATATTAACACTAGTTGAAGGCGCATCCGCCACGACATCAGGGAAAAAAATACTTTTTATTTTTTGTTTAAATTAAATGAAAAACAAAAAATCCGGCGACGACAGTTCTTAGAAAAGCCAATTAGCTATCTTTTAGTAAAAAAAGGAACTTTCTAGAGCAAGTCGTTACTTCAGTAGAACGTTGCTATAACAAGTTTTTATTATTTCTTAAATAAATATATAATTATGAAAACTACATAGAAACAAACCAGTTATTCAAGTTCTTCAGGTATACCTAGTTCTTCATCGGTCCATTTACTAGGATCTGGATAATCGAATTCTCCCTAAAAATAGATTTCCATTATTTCTGTTATCGTTCACTAAAACAATAGTTAAATACAAAAACGTGATCAGGTTCAGTCCAGAAATGCCACAAAATCCACCACCAAACAATACCATGAACAATTTCTGCTCTAATTATTACACTTTTTTTATGTTCTGGAACAGCAGACCGATAATAATACCTAAAATCAAAAATATATTTATAGGATTATTACAAAGTTTACATAACAATATTAACTTACTGATGTCCACTATTTCTAACGGCTTGCTTAAAGTGGACACCTTTATTACTCAAGGTTTTTAAGATCCGTGTTGAAGCTCCTCTAGATATTAACATTTTGTCGATGTTCCACTTCTCTAGGCTTTTTCTTGTATTTAATTCTTTATTTTTTATAAGTAACTATGATTTGACGAAGGAACACGAAATAATGTCAAATTGACATGTACAGCTTGTTCTTGCCAAGTAGGATTAGAAATTAGAACATGATTAGAACCATTGCCTGGAAACTTATATGGTAAAATTTTCATAAAATAATTTAGTACACACTAAAAACACGGTATGTCGCTAGTGGTAGGAAAATAATTTTTAGAGGTTACTAGTTTATTTGGTTGCCTGTGATATGCATATACAGAGTGTTTCCTAATTAATCTAAAAAATAAAAAATTGTTAGGAAACGAATTAAGACGGGCTCTTAATAAGTATATTAATTTTTTTCTCGACAACCGTTTGATGAACAAGAAAAACGCAAAAGATCAATTTTGTTGAAAAAGGATGGCCAGTCAAGAAAAAAATATATTTTCTTTAAAAAAGCAGTGGTGTACCATTTATGTTAAGCAAAAAGATCGATTTTTTTAAATTTTTAACACCCTGTAGATCAGAAAGGAAGTACTTTAGACCTAATGGTTATATAAAAATTGTTTTAAGAACACATGAGGAATCACACCATAATTTTTTTAGACTAATTCGAAAACACCCTGTATATTGTCAACTTGACAATGACTGCTGATAAATCAAAAAATACCTTTTCAGTGAAAAAAGCCTGATTTTCGCAGACAAAATTTTGATTTTTATTGAATTTGGGCCTGCGTTTGCAAATACTCGTTTGTTTTTTAATTTACTATCTATCTAAATTTTAAATATCATAGTCAGAAATAGTTTTATTATTTATTAACTGTAAAAATGGCGTTTTCTTGTTGTGTTGCATCTTGCAAAGAAACTAACAAAACTGCAAAAATGTACGTGTTTCCAAAATACGATAAGGTATGTATCTTAGATAAAAGTAAAATATATGGTAAGTATTTGTTGTTTGATTTTTTTTCGTTCGCTTTAAAATCTATAAATCTCGGTCTATTCATTAGAGAGCCAGTCGACTTACGATCATTTACTTGAAACTCTGTAAAATAAATAAAAAAATAAATTGTAAAATATATATATTCTTATGTTTTATTAAAGTTACTCTGATATACTAATATATCAGTGTAACTTTAAAAATAAATCCTTTGAATTCAAATATAAACATAAAAAACATTTACAGCAGAAAAGGCGAAGGCTCTGGGTTAAACGTAGTCTCCACTAAAAACACGGAGGGGCGCTTTGACCCAAAATTTTACTATTAAGTTTCATATCTTAATAGTAGATTATTTTTTTTTATCTATGGTGTTGGTTTCTATGTAATTTGACAAATAAATAAAGCTGTCTCCTTAGTTGTCAGTTTTGAATCAATATTTTTCTTTGAATAAGAAGACTAAGGAAGGAGCATAATGCTATCCATGTATTCATGCATGGTGGGCGGAAAAGGCACCATAAAAGCTCTCTAGGGTGGGGATCCTTGACAGTTCTGTTTGACGATTCATTTGACACATTTGAATTTGATTTGAAATTTTGTGGATTTGTCTTTACGGTCTTTACGGAGCTGATTTTATGTTATTTATTATTTATTCTACTACTGATAGTTGTATAAAGGTCGTAAATCTAGATGGAAATTGTGACAGAACTTAAATTAACAGTGACACTATCGCGATTTATCGAAAAAGACTCTAAAATAGTTGGTTGTGTAGCGTGCGGTAGATCTCGGCAAAAATTGAGAGATGATGGAACAACTTTTCGCTAGTAAGTGACTATATAATATACATACGTGTAGTAAACCGATCATTTATGAAATTCACTTAAATTAACTAAATTATATATTTTTCTTGCATTTTAGCTTTTATTTATTACTTGTCAAAGATTAGATGTCAAAGAATTTAGATACGTTAATTTGACTTACCTGCTTCAGTAGCGTATCGGATGTTTGTGTTAATAAATACTTATTATAACTTATCTATTTTTATTAGAATTATATATTTTTATAACAATTTTAATAACTACCAACATTTATTCACAACGTAAAATAAAACAACAAATTATTGAGTCTACCCCACGTCTACCCTACGTCATAGTTTTACATTTTTAAGTAAAATTAGAAGGACACTGATAAACCGGAATTTAAGTCGGCCATATTTGAGGCCCATCGCGGTGTACCTAATATTTTTGATATGCTCCTTCCTTAGTCTTCTTATTCAAAGCAACCAAATAAACTAGTAACCTCTAAAAATTATTTTTCCTACCACTAGCGACATACCGTGTTTTTAGTGTGTACTAAATTATTTTATGAAAATTTCACCATATAAGTTTCCAGGCAATGATCGATTGCTGATTGAATTGGAGCCAGAAATCAGCTCAAAACGAAATCAGCTCAAAACGAAATAAGTAAATTACCAACAGATATTCAGGTTGAGAAAACACCATGCATGGCAATGTCAATATGACAGTAAATAATATTGATGTCACTAGTTTAAAAAATGAGCGATTCGGATATTCGGAAAGTATTCCCTCTGACATTGAAGAAAAGGTATTCAGAACCATTTCTGGATTGCTTCTAGCAAGATCGAAACAGAAATATGAATATACATAGTCTAAGTATGAAAAATGGTGCACCGAAAAAAAGTACACAACTATGGAAATGAAAAGGTACTTATAACATATTTTTTCAATTTATCCGCTACTTATATAAGCCTTCGTCTCTTTGGGCTTTCTATTCAATGATACGTACTATGATATCTATTAAAATGAATATATATGCTTCATCAGGCAGTTACTTGGAAGATTGTTCAAACTGTATATCATTAACATTTATAATAAATAAGTTTACGTGTTTTTATAATTATTACCAATAGAACAGTTTATTTGTATTTAGTAGGTATTTAGTGCAAAATACAGAAGGTTTTACAAAATATTTTTTTTTGGTAGAGTCATCTAAACAAGAAGTGCAGTAATGAAAATGCGTGAGTTTAGAGCTTCCTAACTCACTGACGGTAGATAAAAGCATTGACCGCATTTTTAATTAAAAATTCAATTTTTCTCTTTGAGAAAAATTATACTTAAACCATTAAATTTTACATAAAAAGGTGTTTCGGAAATGTTTTCATAAAAATTTTTATAGGAAAAAAGTTACAGCGATTTGTTAAAAATGCACATTTTTGAAAAACACCCCGTAACTCCGAAAGGGTAACAGATATCGATGTGCGGTTTTTACCATCATGTTTTTGACAAAAATTGAGCTCCAGACACCGATATTAGTTTTCGTCTGTCTCCTATAGAAAAAGGTAAAGGGTGTTTGTGTTTTCCATGTGTTTTCCTTTAAACGTGTCCAATTTGGCCCACTCTGTACAGTTAATGAATTCTGTTCTTGGGAACCCCCTATGAGAAGAGAATTTAATATTTTACGGGTTGCCTATGTTGTCATATTTGTTTTTGTTATTGTTATCTCTGTTGAGGTTATATTTGTAAATAGAAAACTTGTTATTTATGAGATAATAATAATTATATTATAGCTTTGTTTCTAAGATTATTTGCCAATACATATCTTTCGTGACCTTGTAGCCTTTAACATTAAAAAACGTGGCAAACATTTCTTAATCCATGGCAGAAAATATCAACATGCAGTTTGCAGGAAAAGTGATACTCATCACGGGGGCAAGTTCTGGAATAGGAGCGGCCACCGCTAAGCATTTTGCAAAATTAGGTGCTAGTCTGGTCTTGGCAGGTTTATTGAAACGGTAAAGCATAAAATTTAGTATATTTATAGTCTTATTTCGTTCCAGGAAGAAATAAACAAAATCTTGAATTAGTTGCTTCTGAATGTAAGACCAATAACAGTGTTGAGCCATTACTGTTAACTGCTGAACTTACAAACGAAACAGAAACTAAATCGTTAGTTGAGAAAACTATAGAGAAATTTGGGAAACTTGATGTTTTAGTAAATAATGCTGGTAAGGAAACTTGCAACAGTACTTGAATGCTTAATTAAATTTATTATTTATTTTATTTAGGTGTATTGGAATCAGGTTCTGTTGAGAATACTAATTTAGAACAGTATGATCGTGTTATGAATGCCAATGTTCGTTCAATCTATCAATTAACAACTTTAGCCGTTCCACACTTAGTTAAAACTAAAGGCAACATTGTGAATGTGAGTAGTGTTAACGGAATTAGGGCATTTCCAGGCGTTTTTGCTTATTGTATATCTAAAGCAGCTGTTGATCAACTTACGAGGTAATATCAAATTATGATGCATTCTTGATTTATAATTTTGCATTTGTTAATATTTCTAGATGCGCGGCTCTAGATTTGGCTCCAAAGCAGGTTAGAGTAAATTCAGTTAATCCAGGAGTGACTTTTACAAATTTACATACGAGAAGCGGTATGAATCCTGAACAGTATGAAGCTTTTATAAAGAGGTCACAAGAGACTCATGCTCTAGGTAGAGCAGTCATAGTCTTTTAAAAATCCTATATTTAATTGTCTATTAATTTTAGGCCGCCCTGGCAAACCAGAAGAAGTAGCAAGAACTATTGCTTTTCTAGCTAGTGATGATGCCAGTTTTATAACTGGTGCTTCCATACCAGTAGATGGAGGAAGACACGCAATGTGTCCAAGATAAGTTCCAAAAATTCCATTTTTCAATACAAAATAGTCAATAAAACTGTTTTTATTATTTCTTAAATAAATGTATAATTATAATAACTACATAAAAGCACACTTGTTATTAAAGTTCTTCGGGTATACCTAGTTCCTCGTCACTCCATTTGCTAGGATCTGGATATTCTCCGAATTCTCCCTAAAAATATATGTGCATTATTTTTGTTATCGTTCACTAAAACAATAGTTAAATACAAAAACGTGATCAGGTTCAGTCCATAAATGCCACAAAATCCACCACCAAACAAGACCTTGAACAATTTCTGCTCTAAGTATTACACTTTTTTTGTGTTCTGGAATAGCAGACCGATAATAAAAACTAAAAACCAAAGAAAAATATATATAGAATTAAATTAAAGTAAAAAAAATGGTATTTTTTTAATCAAAATATTTTAGACAAAGATCTTACATAACAATATGAACTTACTCATGTCCACTGTTTCTAACGGCTTGCTTAAAGTGTACACCGTTTTTACTTAAGGTTTTTAAGATCCGAAGTGTTGAAGCGCCTCTAGATATTAACATTTTGTTGATTTTCCACTTTTCTTTATTCTTGTATATAATTCCTTATTTTTTGTAACCTCCAATCGATATGTACTATGTACAGCTGATTCTTGTCAAGTCCAGGGATGGGCATTTACGCCGTTTACTCATCTGTTTCAGTTTTTTACATTCTGGTAAAAAATGCATAAAAACTATTACAAAGAAAAATGAATGGTAAAGGCACGGTCTAAATTGGTCTAAATGTGTTTTGTGCTTGTTTTGTGTTATGCTTATAAAAGTAGTTATTTTGTTATGAATCTTTTTTTGAACAGTAAAAATCTGGGAAAAATCCATTAAGAAAAGACGTAGTTTATGAAGAGAAACTACACGTAGTTAATCCTTAGAGTTAATCAGGTAAATTACGTCTTAATTAACTACTTCCGAACCCTGATTAAGATCACTGATTATAGACTAGTCGGTAATGATGTGGATCTGGTGGCTGACCTTGAAACGAGTTTTTGCTGCATATAGTCACAGACACTATGCATGCGCACATCTTCGATGTTGCCAGATTGCAAGTTATTTTGGAATTATTTTCAGTAGAAAACAAATATGTGCTTTTCACTGTTTTTTTGTCAATATATACCGTATGATCGAAAAAGGGCGTCCAGTTGGCTGGGAAATGACGATTGAGGACATTTTCCATATAAAATGACAGCGATCTTTATTTCATAGTCATCGCTGACGCTATTTTTTTCAATCATAGTACGCGGTATATTATTTATATTATTATTTTAATATTTCGCACAACACGTGAAACGTGAACGCTTATTATGTATTTTCATAGTCAATAAAATTAAATAGAAATAAAACTCTAGATTCCTATGATTAATCTAATTGCTCTAGATTATTATGCTACGTTTCAAAAGTGCTTTATTAAAAATTCGGGAAATTAAAAGGGATGTGTCCAAGTTTTTTCTTTTTTTTAATTTTTAAATGCTGTAGGCTGTAGCTCCATGTCATGTTCATAATAGGTTTTTTTAACATTCCATCAAAACTACGGAGGCCTTAAAAGGCCTTTTAGCCTCAGTAATTAAAATTGTAGAGTCAGCTTCAGCAAAATTTACAGTTACCTTGTTTAATTCTGCTTATACATTATATTGCATTAATTTTTCTGCTACCTTAAGATTTCTCTATTCTTACACCTAATTTATGTGATTTTCTTAGCATAATATGATTTATAAACCATATTTTTCCTAATGGAAGGATGGAACTGTTGAGCAGTGTGTATATCTTTATTTATAAACTGAACATACAATATTGTTTCTTTACTTGTAACAAATTAATTAACTCTAAGAACTGCTAAGAACAAAAAAAATAAACGAAGCCTTCAAACAAGCAATGCACTTCACTTCATCTTGATAACCACAGACTTAACTTATCTCCATATTAGACTTACCCTAGACTATTAAAAAGGCTAGACACAGCGACACCAGAATATTTTGATTGTCTTTCTTAACAGGACTTCTCAATCAAAACATTCTACCATGTACACAATATCTACAATTTCTTTCAATTTTCAAAATATCTAATACTAATACATAGAACAATTTAACATAGTAACAATCCTAAATTAAATCTGTGTTTAATAAACAAATCACCTGGCAAATTCTTTGTTAAAATATCAGCAATTTGTTCATTAGACCTCACATATTCAACTAAAACCATCTTTTCAATAACTAGATCTTTAATAAAATTATATTTAACATCAATATGTTTTAGTCTTTTATGATCCCAACGTTTTGTTAACTTTATACAGGACTGATTGTCTTCAAACATCACAAATTGACTCTGTGTAAAACCAAGGTCATTTAACAGTTTTGACAACCAAATCCCTTCTTTTACAGATTCTGCAAGAGCAACATACTCTGCTTCAGTTGAAGAGGTAGCGACTGTTGACTGCTTTTTGGTACTCCATGTAACTGTACATCCGAATACTTTAAATAGATAACCTGTCGTAGATTTTCTATCTTCCTCATCACCAGCCCAATCAGCATCAACAAATCCAATAAGTTTCTCTGAATTCTTTGGATAAAATAATTCAAGATTCATTGTACCTTGAAGATATCTCAATATTCTTTTTAAACTTTTCCATAATTCTTCAGTTGGATTACCTTGATATCTACTGCACAAGTTTATAGACATGCTTAAATCAGGTCGTGTTGCCAACATTAGATACATTAGACATCCTATCAACTCACGTATTGGCCTTTTATCATTGTGTTCATTAGTACCATTAATATTGAATTTTCTTGACTCCATAGGTGTTTTGATAGACTTGCATTCGGTCATGTTGAATCTATTAAGCAGATTGATAATATAATCCCTTTGGCTTAAATATATTCCATCTTTTGTTCTTCTAACATTGATTCCCAAAAATGCTTTTAAATCTCCAATATCTTGCATGTGAAATTCTTTATTTAATATACTTTTAATCTTTTCTATTTCTTGCATATTACTACTAACTATTAAAATATCATCAACATACAATAAAAGATAAGTAGTGATATTTTCATTGATTCTTATGTATAAACATGGATCATTATTCGATTTAGTAAATCTTTCAGATCTTACAAATTCGTCAAACCTTTTATTCCAACAATAAGGAGCCTGTTTTAGACCATACAAGGCTTTGTTCAGCTTACAGACTCTACCATCGTTTACGAAGCCTTCTGGAATATTCATGTATATATCTTCATTTATTTTTCCATGTAAAAAGGCTGATTTTACATCCATTTGTTGAATTTCAAGATTTTTAAAGTTTGCTACTGCTAAAAGCGTTCTGACTGTAACAAGTCGGGCAACAGGAGCATAGGTTTCTTCAAAATCAAACCCCTCTCTTTGCATAAAGCCCTTAGCAACTAGTCTAGCTTTGTATTTAACAATTTCACCTAGATCATTCCTTTTTGTTCGAAAAACCCATTTGCAATCTATTACTCTAGCATCTTTTGGTTTTTCCACTAGTGTCCATGTTTTATTCAAATTCTATGCATTTATTTCCTCTTTGACTGCATTTTTTCCAATTTTTGTAGTCCGGCATTGATTTTGCTTTCTCAAGACTCTCAGGTACATTTTCTACAAATGCACTAGCATTTAATGCCATGTGTTCTATCTCATTCTCTGTAATATAATCATTAAAATATGATGGTGTTTTTCTTACTCTATGACTTTTCCTATTTCCTTCATTTTCTACTTTTTCTTCTGATACCTCATTATCTGTTTCATTTTCCATTTCTTCTGTCAAGCTTTCTTCATCTGTCTTTTCTTTAATTAAAATTTTAACATTTTCTGTATCATTCAGGTCAAGGTAAGTATCTATCATTTGCATATCATTAATATTTTTTGCCTCATCAAATATAACATTTCTTCCTGAAAAAGCTTTCTTTTTAATTGGATCCCATAATCTGTATCCATTTGTCTGATAACCAATCATAATTCTAATATTAGCTTTCGTATCAAATTTAGAATTTTGTTTTTCTTTTGGTATATGATCATAAACTAAACTACCAAAAACTTTAATATTCTTTAAGTTTGGCTTTTTCTTATAAAACATCTCAGCTGGAGTTACATCTTTTAAACAAACTGTAGGACTTCTATTTAAAAGGTAAGTAGCACATAGTATGGATTCTCCCCACATAGTTTTAGGTAATTGTGACTGCAATAACATTGCTCTTCCTTTTTCAAGTAAGGTCCTATTTAACCTTTCAGCTGCACCATTTGTTTCGGGATTGTATGGTACATTATAGCGTATATGAATTCCTTTGGTTCTACAAAAAGCTTTAAAGTTATGTGAACAATATTCACTGCCATTATCACAATATAAAGACCCAATCCTGTAACCAGTTAAATTCGTTACTCTAGCTTCAAACTCAGTAAAACATTTAAATACTTCATTCTTTGATTCAAGTAAATATACCATACTAAAATGAGTATAATCATCTAGAAAAGTAAGAAAGTACCGTTTATTATCATATGTTGTGGGCGAAATAGGTCCACATATATCACTATGAACAACCTCAAGTGGTCTCTTTGTTACTTTTCCTGAGACTTTCGTGAAAGGTAATCGTGTTATTTTTGTTTGAGCACATATAGAACATATTTCTGAATTATACCCCTTTAAGTTATTCATACTTATATTTACTCCCTCTACCATATTATTTTTAGCAAGTTTTAATACATTTTGACAGCTTAAATGTCCTAACCTAGAATGCCATAATTTAATATTTGAATTTTGCTCACAAAAATTAGCATAGTTTTTATATGGTTCTAATTTAAATTTAATAACATATAGATTATTTATTTTACTACCTTTTGCTAATAATTTTGAATTTTTATTGATAAATACACTATTTTCTTTAAAAATCACTTCCAAACCAGCACTCTCGAGTTTCTGTACTGACAAGAGATTCTGTCTCAAATTTTTAACATAGAAAATATCTTTTATTTCAGCTATGCAATTACTTAATTTTACATATACATTGCCTACCTTAGAACAGCTTAACGATTCTTCTTCTTTAGCAACTGCTATTTTAAGCTCACCTTGTAGATTTTTTGAATTTGTAAAGTATTTGTCACTATTGATCATATGATCAGTCGCACCAGAGTCTACCACAAAATTGACAAAGTCCTCACCACACTCAACAGTTGCCGCTTCTGTATTCATCGCTGCTGCAGTAAATGAAATATTTTCTTGTTTCTCTTCTTTACTTTCTACTTGATTTGCTTGCCTTTTGGATATGAACCAGCATTGTTTTCTGAAATGTCCTACCTTGCCACAGTTATGACATTTTATTCCTTTGCTGTCCTTTTGTCTTGTGTAATTTGTATCACTTTTATTTTCCTTCTGATAGTGCTTGTTACTTGTACCAGCATTTCTTGTATTCATGTTCCTTTGATAGCCACTAAATGCTGCAAGATCAGAGTCATTTCTCTCCTCAAAGTTCTTTCTTTTAACTTCATGGTCAAGTAATTTGCCTTTTACAAACTCAAGTGTTAGTTTATTTGTTTCTAACGTTTCCAGTGCTGTAACTATAGTATCATAACTCTTCGGTAATGTTAAAAGTAAATGACAGACAATATCTACTTCTTCAAGCGTAGCACCTACTGACTTTAGTTCTCTAATTGTTTCTTCAAACTTGGTGAAATGAGTTTCTAGCATTTCATTTGCATTAAATTTCATTGTCAGCAATTTTCTTCTTAAATAAAGTTGGCTTGCCACTCCTTTTCTTTGGAACACTTTTTCCAGTGCCTTCCACATGTCATACGAAGTATTTTTGTCCTTTATATATTCCAAATGTGAATTTGCAACACACTGTACAATGACTGATTTACATTTTTTATCTAGCTTAATTTGTTCTTCTGTAGGAGAAGTTATTTGTTCAGTTATGCACTTCTTGACTCCATAATGATCAAGAACAGTTTCAACCCTAAATTTCCAGTGATCAAAATTCTTTCCGTCAAATTGCGTGATTCCAAATTTCTCAACTGAATAGTCAAATTTCTGGCTCGCCATTTTGAAAACTGTGTTAATCTTCGAATAGGTTGTACTTTATTTTCCAACTCTTATATCTAGGCATGGACTGGGCCCATAACTTGTTGAGCAGTGTGTATATCTTTATTTATAAACTGAACATACAATATTGTTTCTTTACTTGTAACAAATTAATTAACTCTAAGAACTGCTAAGAACAAAAAAAATAAACGAAGCCTTCAAACAAGCAATGCACTTCACTTCATCTTGATAACCACAGACTTAACTTATCTCCATATTAGACTTACCCTAGACTATTAAAAAGGCTAGACACAGCGACACCAGAATATTTTGATTGTCTTTCTTAACAGGAACAGGATATACAAAATTAAGATATTTTAACATTTATTTTCCAGACAAAGCATAATATAGTATCTGTGATAGTATTAAGATTAAGACATAACAAATATTATAAGAAAGATCTTTCACAAACTAATTACAAACTAATCTTAAGTTGGTCTTGTATAAACACAGGTATAAAACCTTTTATAAAAATAATAAGATCAAAACTCAACCTTCACCATATTGTCAAGATTTGGCATTATAGTATACAAGAAATTACAGTAAATTAAGAAAAGAATATAAGTAATGTATTCTACGACACAAACCATCTCCCTTCTAAAGAGAAAAAGATAAAGCATAAAGCTTATTTTAGTCTTATCAACACACTCTTCGTAAAATTGCTATTAATCCACTAACTTGATATTTTTAAGAAATTATGATACAAACGTTATGATCAAAGTATATTATATTTTATATTAGTAACATTATAGGTAAAATGTTACCTCTATATCTCCCATTGACATGTATTGTTTTATAAGACTCGTCATGGTAGTATTTCAAAACATATCAATACATATAATCAAAACTATTGTTGCCTGTAAATAACTAGAAATTAAATAACTTGAAAGAAATAAAATAATTCTAATAAGTTTAAAACCATTAAGAAAAAATCCGTACATGATAATTTTTAATTCTAATGTAAATATAAAAATAAATGTTATTATTATTACAATTTTATATATTCATATTATTTTCATTTCACAATCTTTATTATCCTTCTTACCTTAATTTTGGATATCAAGATAAATCTGAAATTATAAAATTAATTATAGAATTTGTATTATTATTGATTAACATTCAAAAAAAAAATTTCAACTGCAAATAATTCGAAAATAAACTGCAATTTGGCAACATTGACGATGTGCGCTTGCGTAGTATCGATGATCAAATGCAGCAAATATGGGCTTCAAGGTCAGCCACCGGATCCAAACCTTTACCGACTATTCAATACTCTAGAACCAAAGAGCAGGGTTCGGAAGTAGTTAATTAAGACGTAATTTACCTGATTAACTACGTGTAGTTTTTCTTCAGAAACTACGTTTTTTCCCGTTCATAAACTACATGAAAACTACGTTAGTAAACTATGTATTGATATTATGAATAATTTTCCTTTGTATGAGGTGTAATAGAGATAATATGATGTAAATATTATATTTAACGCCATATTTCTTCTGTTTCCTTAAATACATTATGTGTTTTTAAAGCTTCAACTTAAACCTCACCTCAAACCTTTGATATTTGAAAGTTACATACATAGGTTAGATAAACTACACCCTCTACATAAACTACATTAGCTACATGTAATGTAGTTTATGTAGTTTTTTAAAGTAACATGTAGTTTTCCGAACCCTGCATGTAATGCAGTTTATGTAGTTTTTGAAAGTAACATGTAGTTTTTCGAACCCTGCCAAAGAGCAGATAAGATTATCTACTCTTTGCTAGAACTTATTTCACAACCCTCACGCTCTGCCCTAGATTCTGTTCTGTGGATTCTGTCACCTCCAAGGCCAAGCGTGGCCAAGCTCTCTAAAGCCCCGTTCTCAGAACTGCGACTGTCGCCAGCGACACGACAAAAGAACCAATCAGATTTGTACAAAATTTAAACAGCTGTCAATTTTAAATTTAGTACAGCTCCCATTGGTCGTTTGAAGTGTCAATCAGTGTCGCTGTTGACACGACGCAGTTCTGAGAACGGGGCTTAAAGCCCCGTTCTCAGAACAACGTCGTGTCGCGGGCGACAGAGTTTGACATTTCAAACAACCAATGGGAGCTGTACTAAATTTAAAATTGACAGCTGTTTGAATTTTGTACAAATCTGATTTGGTTTGGTTGGCTCAGAACTGCGACTGTCGCCAGCGACACGACAAAAGAACCAATCAGATTTGTACAAAATTCAAACAGCTGTCAATTTTAAATTTAGTACAGCTCCCATTGGTCGTTTGAAGTGTCAGTCAGTGTCGCTGTCGACACGACGCAGTTCTGAGAACGGGGCTTAACTGTCAGCTCAGTCTGTCAAATTTGCCTTAATTTTTTAGTGTAGTTTATAATTTATAATTGAAAATTTAAGAAAAATGGCACAAATATCTGATGTGGAACAACCTTATATGAAACAAATTGATTTAACCACTTTAAATCTTCAACAACTTTATACATTGAAGCAACAGCTAGATCAGGTATGTAATATCGCTCTTGTTAACCTAGTTTCAAATTTTAGTCAGATATTTTCCTTATATGGTAAACTTACATAGCTTGTACGGTTTTTACTTGTATTTACAGGAACTCAGTTTATTTGAAGAATCTCTAACATCGTTAAAATTGGCTCAAAACAAATTTCTAACATCAAACGAAACATTACAGAACATAGACTCTGATTCAGAGGGAAAAGATATATTAGTTCCCTTAACTGGATCTGTATCCTTTTACAAAATTTTACTTAAGATATTATGTGAATTTTATTTTGTATGTTTTTCTTAATAATTGAATAGATGTATGTTCCAGGTAAATTGGTAGATACAAATAATGTAATCATTGATATAGGTACAAGATATTATGTAGAGAAAGTAAGGTAGTCTGCAATAATTATTTAATTATATCATTAAGTTGTGCGTTTCTTTAGGATATAGCAGCAGCGAAAGATTACTTTCAAAGAAAAGTCAAATTTGTAACAGAGCAAATGGAAAAAATTCAAGTTTTAGGTCTAAAGAAAAGTAAGATACGCGATACAATTGTGGAAATAGTAGAAATGAAGTTGAGTGAAGAAAACAACAGCACCAGAGCTTAGTGTTCTTACAGTTTTGAATATTTTTTTGGCAGAATTTCTAATCATGTATAGTGGTTAGAAGTTAATTATTAATTTCTTAAAACTTAATTTTATTAATTTCTTTTAATTTTACTAAAATGTGATTTGTTGCAGGTAATAAATTTGTAAAGACAGTTTTAGCTATAAACATTATTATTTATTTTTTAAATACAAGTTACATTTCTTATATTGCACTTTATGTAGGATGTAATATTTGTATTAAAATCATGTTTGCAATAAAAAAATATATACAATTTCAGTCATTTTTTTGTAGTTATATGTACTATTAGAAGTAGAAAATACTAATAATATGATTTAAAGGCGCTATAAAGCTTCATATTTTCAATTTAGTGTTGTCCTACTGCCCTCTGTAGTCTTTGGTATTTTCCTATGGCATCTTGAACCAAGGCAGCTGCCGATGCAATCTTTTCTGGGGTCATCAAAGATCTTACAGTGTCCTTATTCAAGGCCTAGAAAACAATTTTGAAAATGTATTCAAACTTATTCCTATAAAGATTAATTATAGTATTGTTGGTTGCCTATGATGATAAGCTTATTGTACAGGGTGGGTCAAATTCGACGCTTTTAAATGGAAACACCCTTTTCTATAGGAGATAGACAAAAACTAATATCGGTGTCTGGAGCTCAATTTTTGTCAAAAACATGATGATGAAAACCGCATATCGATATCTGTTACCGTTTCGGAGTTACGGGGTGTTTTTCAAAAATATGCATTTTTAACAAATCGCTGTAACTTTTTTGCTATGGAACATTTTGTATTTTTATGAAAACATTTTCAAGGCACCTTTTTACTTAGAATTTAATGGTTTAAGTATATTTTTTTTTAAATTAATAATTTAAGAATTATCAATAAAAAATTTGATTTTTTATATGGGACACCCTGTATATTTTTAATTTATTGAAAAGAATTTAAAATTACCTTTCCAAAAATATAACACACGTGATATTTTGCTCGATTCCTCTTCGAGATATAGATTATATAAAAATTCGCCCGCTTTAAATAATTAGGCTTTGCACCGGCTGTAATGCAAAAAATTCTAGCTGTGAGCATCAATTAAAACGGAAATAATATTTGCTATGAGAGATGCAGAATTTTATAAAAATTTAAAATATATTTAACCAACATCAACACATTTAAACTATATCTAATAACAATAAAAATAAATAGCAAACCAAGACATGAGATTTTGCTACAGGTGTTCGACATATCGACCGTCTTTTGTTATGGACAGACGGGGCAGTTTTTGAACATTTCTCGCGGAATTCATTAACTCAGTCGGGGTGAAAGATACCCTTTCATAACTGCTAAGTATTTCTAATTCTTGTCTAGATTATACGGAAGAATAAGGAACCTTTATTCTTCCGCAAATATATCCATAGGATTAGATCCATGGGCACTATGTCAGGCGGGCTCGACGGCCAACGGCTGGGATCTTGGTTAGCTATTCAATTATTCTTGAAATTTGCTGCAAAAATTTGCTGATAACTTCAGCGTTCAAAGGCGGTGCGTCGTCTTGCTGGAAAAATATGTTTTCGAGTTCCATTAAGGGCATATCATCAATAAGGAGTCCAAAGCCTACTAGTTAAAAGTGGCCAACTTTTGAAAATTCTGTATTTCGAAGGGGACAAAATATCAAGTGTGCTATATTTTTGGAAAGGTAATTTTAAATTCTTTTCAGTTAATTAAAAATATAAGGGGTGTCCCAAATAAAAAATCATTTTTTCTGTTGATAACTCCTAAATTATTAATTTTAAAAAAATTATACTTAAACCATTAAATTCTACGTACAAAGGTGCTTTGGAAATGTTTTCATAGAAATACAAAATTTTCCATAGCAAAAAAGTTACAGCGATTTGCTAAAAATGCACATTTTTGAAAAACACCCCGTAACTCCGAAACGGTAACAGATATTGATGTGCGGTTTTCACCATCATGTTTTTGATGAAAATTGAGCTCCAGACACCGATATAAGTTTTCGTCTATCTCCTATAGAAAACGGTGTTTCCATTTAAAAGCGTCGAATTTGACCCACCCTGTACTCTAGTAAAATCACAGTCTGTTCATTAGACAGCCACTCGACTTAAGATAATTAACATGGAACTCTGCGTACCTACCTAGATATTCGCATATCTTATGTTATACTATAACGACTTATGCCGGGACTCCATTAGGCCACACGCCACGCGACGACACGTTTTCCCTGCACACGTGTTGCAACGTGGGGAAGAGTGTACATATATGAGATGTGGGACAGACGAATCGCCCATCACACGTGTGATAGCGTGGGGTGGCGTGTTGCCTAGTGTGTACTCAATACACGTAATTAAATGGAAAACATAAGCACAGATCTTCATGACGTGGGGTGGCATGGCGTGGCATGTGGCGTAATGGGGTCCCGGCATTATGCTCTGACTGCCTGCATGTGTACAAGGCCTAGAAATAGGCCTAAAAATAGGCCTAGCGGCGTAGCTAATATTCAAAAACTAGCGAAGTCATCTGAAGGGCATTTAATGATTAGACTGTGGTAATTTTAATAGCAGAATTTTATCATTTTATCATATTTTAAGCCACTATAATAAAATATAATAATAGTGGCATATACCGGGTGCGTTTCATAAGTGGCTCACTTCCATAACTTTTTTATTTTTTCAGATAAAAAACGAGATTTGTTATGTTATACTTTATGACATAAATTAGGATTGATTGACGTATTCAATTGCTTTCGGTCACTTCCTGTTTCACCGGAAATCACTACAACTTTTGATTGAACGTATTTGTTTACCTTATTCGATAGAAAATGACACTCTGAATAGAATAACATATCACATGTCAACTTTTGACATATTCGCATATGGTTTATTTCAAATTGTAACGTGCGGTTCATAACGACAATTATTTTACTAGAAAGATCAAATGTTTGGTACAAAATTATTCGTAAAAAAATGCTTTTTCTAAATATGCTAATAAACCACCCTTGTTCCATTTGAAAGCATTGAGATACGATTAAAAATACGATTTTGGCATCTTCTAACCAGCCAGATAAGACACGAAAAACATTAAACCATCAAAATCTATTTTTCTAAGGCTCTTTGATAAAATTAATTATTATTAGTATTTTTAACACAGAAAATTGAAATTTAAAACATTTTTTTTTTAAATGAAAATGTCAAAGATGACATATTACATGTCTATTCAGAGTAAAGTAAAAAAATCTATCGTATAAAGTAAAAAAATACCGAGGGTGTCATCTAAAAATCAAAAGTTGTACTCATTTCCGGTGAAACAGGAAGTGACCGAAAACAATTTTAGGCGTCAATCAATCCTAATTTATGTCATATACTAACATACCAAATCTCGTTTTTTTATCTGAAAAAATAAAAAAGTTTAATTGAATAAGGGTGAGCCACTTTTAAGACGCACCCGGTATAACAATTAATTACCCTTTATTTTTAACCCTTAAATTCTTTTGCAGTTGTTTTGAAACATCTTGAATAAAGGAAGTAGACATATTTAAAAGACTACAAAAAATACCATAAGATAGAGAAAAAAAAAACGGCGTCGGAGATGGCATAGAAATAAATAAGATCGCTATAATTTTACATGTAAAATTCTATCAATAATGTCAACGATCGTCATTTTACAGCCAACCGGACGCCGTTTTTTCGATTATGCGGTAGAATTTTCTTACTTTAAAGTCGTATCCGTTGAACGTTATAGTGCAAATAGGGGTTAAACTACACACGATCGTAGTAAATATACCACCAATCACTAACAAAGCTGCTCCTGCTATAGCAAATAAACCTACTTTAGCGAATAATTTTAATCCAGCCTGTAATGCAGCCTGCAAAGAAATAAAAATTTATTGTAAATGTTTTGAAAATCAAATAAAAGTGTCCAAAAAAGACCAAAATAGAAAATATTACAAATTTCGAAAGAAATGTTACACAATATACACTGATTGGAAAAAGATAAAAATTACCGGTACTTACTTCAAATAAATACTAGGAAAATACACAAGTATATATATTTAAAAAATTGACTTGTATTATATAATTGTATATAATATTATTTTATATTAATAATTGACTGGAATTATATACAGGGTGTTTCAAAACAAATGTGAAAAACTTCAGTGGGTGGTTCCTCGCTAAAAATAAAGGGTAGTTTGCTTTATAAACGTTGGGTCAAAAGTCAACCATTAGGGAGATATCGCGGTACAAAGATGGCGGAAAAATAATGTTTTTATTTTTTATCTTGAAAACTAAAAGAGATAGACTAATGACATTTTACGGAAGGATTACTGTTATGAAAACATACATTCCGGTAATTTTTTCATTTTTTTAAAATCAGTGGAAGAGGTTGAAATAAACTACCCCTATCATTCTTATTAACGAAATTTAAAGAAAAATCTTATTAAACACATGCAAAAAAATTAATTTCGATAGTTTAGTTTGTTAACTTTTTAATCTCTTCTGTTTTTTGGATAAAACTCACCGATTTGAAATTAAAAAATAAAATGTAAAGCATTGCCTGTCAGGACAAAAAACATTTTCACATAAAGAAAAAAGGCTTCGGAATAATTAATTGATCGTAAGATAATAACGTATTGCAGTACTCAGTAGAGTGTAATGTCAGATAAAATAATATTAGAAACATCCTAAAAAGTGACAGCGGTCAACTAGATTTTTTCCTAAAAAAATTACAGCAGCTCACTTGATTCTTTATTTAAAAATGTTTTTTGTCCTGACATGTAATGCTTTACATTTTATTTTTTAATTTCAAATCGGTGAGTTTTATCAAAAAAACACAAGAGATAAAAAAGTTCCTAAATAAACTAAACTATCCAAATTAATTTTGTATGTGTTTGATAAGATTTTTCTTTAAATTTCGTTAACAAGAATGATAGGGGTAGTTTATTTCAACCCCTTCCACTTATTTTAAAAAAGTGAAAAAATTACCAGAAAGTGTATTTTCATAACAGTAATGCTTCCATAAAATTTCATTAGTCTATCTCTTTTCGTTTTCAAGATAAACAATAAAAACATTATTTTTCCGCCATCTTTGTACTACAATATCTCCCTAATGGTTGACTTTTGACCCAATGTTTATAAAGCAAACTAGCTTTTATTTTGAACAAGGAATCAACCCCTGAAGTTTTTCGCATTTGTTTTGAAACACCCTGTATATGTATATCTGATACCAATTAAACTTTTAGTTGCGTAATCGAAGGCATGATTTTTAAATCCATTGTTGCCAACCATTGATATATTCGGCGCCGAATTTAAATTTTTCGCTGGGGATTCAAGTAGTAGTTCTGTTGTAAAAAATGTCAAGTTGCCACATTTATTTATTTATTACCTGACATTGTCATTCATTTTGGCATTTTAATTTTGTATTACGAGTTTTTGGTTTAAATAAATAGTGATACTTTAAACTTAAAAATGTTTACTAGCAGACCTTGCAGTCAAACATTGTTCTTTTTAGAACCTCTTTTAGTGCGAAGCGTATGAGATAGCTTAATAGCCGTAAAAACTCATTGCAACTTTATTAGAATATTTTGAACGGGAAAACAATTGCCCTTTATGTCCCCTAAGTGCTGTTAAGCAGGTGAGTTTTGTTGATGTTAATAATAACTGTTTATATATTTATAATTTATTTCTGTTTCCTAAAATATTTTGATTCAAAGAAAATATGTAAAAGTGGGCAATGCCGTGCCGGTCAAGCTTAATCACGTGACTAAAAGTTTATTTGACATGAACCATATAAATACCTTGGTGGCGGGTTCATTACAGGAAAATATCTGGGTATTTTGCCGCTGAAACAAAAAACTAAACAATAAAAAGTTATTTTTGTAAAATGCCACTGGCCACTGGGTTAGAATTCAAAGCAAACTAGCTTCGTCCAGCTTCTCAGTGGCTTGCTTAGTCTCGTAATCAAAATGGCCTAAGCAACAAAAAACTGTAAATGTTTTCACGAGTGTATATAGGGTGATTCACAGTAAGTGAAATCAAAGATGGTAGGTAGATGGAGCACCTTATGAAAAAAATCCGAAATTTCCTAAAAATCCGGTCAACGGTTCTCTAAACGTTTAACCTACACTACCATCGCCGTGTGAATCACCCTGTAGAGAAAAACTAATCAAATTGTCTAAATCTATTTATGTACATCATTTTGTATTTGTTAATTTCCTGATTCAGCAGTAAAATACCAAAATATTTTTCTATAACAATTATTATAATACAGTTTATATGAAATTTGTAACATTTTAGAAATGAGTGGTTGATAATGGAATATTAATACAGGGTGACCCATCGAAAACGTTCCGCAAGGTATAACTACCAGGGTAATTCTTTTTTTCAGAAACTTCAAAAACACGTCAATTTTGTTTGTGAGCGGGACAACTTTTGCCCCAAAAATGATTGCAAAATCTTCAACACTCTAAGCGGGGGTGTCATCCCCTAATTTTTTTCTAATGGGAAGGGGGGTCAAGTGGTACCGCAGTGAAAAGGGCTTTCTATTCTCTAAACTTTCCGGCTTCGTTTTTGAAAATCGGTCTAGTTATTGAGAAAATATGAAGGATTGAAATTTAAAAAGTTTATTTAAATATTTATCAGAGTAAATGATAAGGATAAATTTCTTTGACCAATTTGCTGTTTTTTCTTATTATTTCTAGATGTTTACGCATTTTTTCACTTGCAACAAGGTTGAACGATCAGGTGCGGTACTTGCTAGATAGCTGTTCTGTGACTTATACGTTGAAGTTCTTCTCAATATCGTTAAATTTTTTAACAATTATTATGGTGTACTCACTTGCAGAAAAAGTGGAAATAATCGAACTTTATTTTAAAAATAATGAATGTGGCAATCGGGTTGCGCAGATATTCAATGAACGCCATCCTGACAACCACCTTTATGGCAAAATTGTTTGCGAGTTAATAGCAAAGTGTCCAAAAGATATTAAAAAAAAACGGAAGTTCCACCCGTACAAAATTCTGTTGGTACAAGAACTCAACGAAGACGATTTTGATCGTCGCTTGCAATTTTGTGAAACTATGAGTGAACGAGTGGCGAATGATAATAATTTTCTATTTAATGTGTGTTTTTTGGATGAATGTACTTTCTTTTTGAACGGTGTAGTTAATCGCAGGGCCGTATCTAGACCAAAATTTCGGGGGGGGTTGCCGGGGGGGGGTACAAAATCGCTTTGGGCTACACTCAAATCTTAATTGAAAATAAAATTTTAAAAAAAGTAACAGGTAAAAATATTAATCTTAAAGGATAAACTGGTCTTTTCCCTGGAAAAACGATTGACTACCTCTTCGATATCGATATTTATTTCTCTATGTCCGCTTAATAGAGCAAGTCCTGTCAATCGCTCTTGACCTGTAGAGTTACGTAGGAAGTCCTTCAATCGTCTTATGCCGCAACCGCACATGCGGCATTTAGCGAACTCCTAGCGCTCGTCAACTACCGAATAGTGATGGTGAACGAATACTAGAACTGATCCCAGAATCTAATCCCTGACGCTCGGATCAGGTACCTGATCCCAAACGAGAAAATGAATCGGCCGAAAACTAGTACGCAACCGTAAACCGCAAAGACCGATCCAGGCTATCGGCACTGATACTGATACTGATACCTGATACCATTGATCCCCGTCGAGATGATACAGACGCACAACTGTACCGACTGTATGTAGTCGGACTCGATACTTGATTCCTGATTCTTTTTTCGCAGCGATTATCATCGGCGGACGGTATCAAAATGAGTTGAATAATAGTAACTGATCCGGGATTAGTATCGGTTGGATCAAAACATTTCATCTTTTTATTAGATTACTTTAAAGGCCAACTGAGTACATTAAATTTTAAGTGGATTTATTTTTTCGACATTCATATGGGAAGAAGATAATAATTAAACTAACTAATCAGACATGTTAAGTAATTCTTAGTACATACAATTCTTGATAATTTATGTAGGTATACTATAGTTTAAAAAAATGTTTTTTTTTGAATACCTAAATAAAACGTTTTCTTTTCCTAAATAAACGATTAGACTCAGAAAATGTTTAATAACTGGTTATTTCTTTAAAAATACTAAGGGCCACTACTATGTATGTTATTAATTTTTTAAAACTGCTTTCTCTATCTTCAAATTCAAATCTGACAAAGATAATAAGAGTTCTGATAGTGAGACGATAATGAATTTTGGAATATGATTTTAAGTTAAGATTTAGTTTTTAATGTTTTTGGTAAAACAGAACATTTAGTTTTTTTAACTTTAACAATTTTAAGGTTTTGAGAGGAATATCTTATTTTATTATTATTTTTAGTAAAGAATAAAATATAATTATAATTTTTATTATTCATATTTGTTTTTTTTTGCAGACCTTTGAAAAAATAACAGTGAAAATTTTTTTTTTAAAAAAAAATTTTTCGAGGTGTTAAAACACTAAGGTATAATCTTTTCATGATAAGGTACTGAGGAAATTGAAACCAGAAAAATTTGTTTATAAGGACTTTTTTATTTATATTTGGGAAACTAAACAAGTATAAAAATAAACTAACAAAAACGTAAGCTAGGAATGCATATTTCGCAGAAAACAACATAGATATATAAAAATCAGAACAAAAGACAACAATAAATAATACTAAACAACATGAAAAACAAGATAGTTAATTCAATATTTAATGAAATCGAGGCTATAGAGTGAATAATAATATTAATTAATTATATATATATATATATATATATATATATATATATATATATATATATATATATATATATATATATATATATATATATATATATATATATATATATATATATATATATATA